TAACTGCTGCAAAAATGAACCCATAAGAATCATCAAAGGAAGCAGCAGAGAAATGATCAAACGCACTGACTGAACGGATCATGTGAGCTTCTCTACAGCGGCAGAGGTCAGTGTGAAAAGTGTCAGGTCTTAATTAGGGATGAAACTAACAATTATTTTAATAATTGATTACTCTGATGATTTAAAAAACATTCTTTCTGCCGATTCTTCATGTAACCACTTAAGATTTTTTTTTATACAATAGGTTTATGAAATCTCAGCTGTGTGTGGACAGTGTGTGTAGACGGTTTGAACACACACAGTGTGCCTGAGTATGTGAGAGTTGTAATGGCGATCCGATGTAGTCCAGGTTTCCCACAAACTGTGAAGTGACCCTTTTGTTTACTGGACATTAGAAATGGCAAACTTTGTTGTCATTAGCGACTGATGGTTAGCTAGTGTTGGTATTTCCATCCTGCTCATCATAAAACATTTGAATCTTATCGGTCAGCATTTCTCTCTTCTCTAAAAATAGACAAGATCAATGATAAAAATCAAACCCATCATCTCATCAGAAACACCTCAAATTAACCCAAAAGCACAGTAGTGGAGAAGTGATGATGAGGACCAGGAGCTCCTCTGTATTCTGAAGCAGATGTCCACAACGTTATTGATGTGAAAGATCAGAAACTATAAGCAGCAGCAAACCGACAACAGAACAGCTGGAAAATCTCAGGAGGGAGTCGCCACCCAAACGGCGGCGTCTTCCCTGCTGATCTCAGAAGTTAGCATGAAAGATAACAGCAGCGATGCAAAGAGAACAAGGAGCGCCTCCACTTTACAAGGAAGCGCCTGCCGTCGCCTGCCTGTGTTAAAGGGAGGGCAGGTTGAGAGGGCAACACAGGAAGAGGTTAGGGAGCTGCACCATCTGCACAGTCACACACCAACATGAGTCTCACACCGCCACTTACAGCCTGGATGCTACCCAGAAACACAGGCGGAGCTCTGCAGCAGCTGGCTGTTTGTGAGCGTTAGCTGAACTCTAAACACTCTCAGTCCAACAGCAGTTAAATCAGCACCAGCAGATGACACACTCCACAAACATCCAACCTCAGCTGGCTGAGTGCTTTGCTTTCTGCAGGACAACCTTCCTGCGTTTCAGGCGATGCTGGGGATTCAAAGACACACCGCTGACCTGGGTGTGTTTCCCTCCTGACAGAGTCGGGAGTAAAAACAGGATCAAATCCTTCTCTGTGGTTGTGGAGGTTGAACTCAGGTGGAACCTTTCCTCTGCTGTGTTGGACAGAAACATAAAGGCTGTTGCTCCAATCAACAGAGTGAGGATCAGGCTGCCTCGTCTCACATGGCTGTTAGTGTCTGCTTACAGCTGGACAGATGAGCGAGGTTCATCCTCAGGAACCTGAAGGTGTCAGGAAGCTGCACCAGCCCTGTGGAGCTCCACAAAGCTTCCCCTGATATCTCGTCTGATTCCTTTTCATTTGTCCATGATGTCACAAAAGGTGTAGCCTTAAAATACATCCAGCAGTGTGCCTCCACTGGCCTCAGCAGCTGGAAATGAGCCCACAGGCTGATGACATCATCGCCTGGCCTCTCCAGAGGCAGTGCTGTCCAAACCTTTAGCAGCTCGTTAAAGGAACACTAAAACGCAAAAATAATTTGATCATGTTTTCACTTGCGCAACAATAAAATAAACACAATATTTTAATGAAAGCTCATTATTAATAGAAAGTAGAGAATAAATTATTGCAGGTTCCAAAAAAAAGGGCTTGCCTTGATAAAACAAAGGCGGACAGTTTCCTAATTTCTTGGATACAATGTCTGGTAATGTTTAGTCTATTCCCCAACTTGCTGTTTTTGCTATTTGCACCATTTTTACCTTTAGATTCTATTTATGGTGGTGGCAGAATTATTTTTCCTTCCTTCCTGCTCCTGTTTCTGGTTTGTCCAGCTTTCATATTAAATGCCTTCCCACTTCACAGATATCAGACATAACGGCACAATAAATTTTACAAACATGCATTTCAAAACAAAGGTGAAAATGACTGAGCTCGTTCAGTCTCTGTCTCTCCTTCGATAGTCGTAGTTAGCAAAGACAGAAATAATCTTTGTGACTTTGTTCCACCCAGAGCCAGCGTGCAGTGACAGCCATATAATGAGTCTGGAGGAACAGGAAGGTGTCAGCAGACAGATCATTTCAGTTCATGTTGGGGGGGAGAGAGACGGCAGCACATGAAAAAGCCATACTCTGTGACAGTTTAATGCTGCAGCGCTTAACAAGGTTCATTAGTGCTGCTCTTTCTGCATCTCGGTACCATGAGGCAAACTGGGTTACAACAACAGCGACACATGGGCCTGGAGCTGCTAACATCCAGCTAACGCTGAGCCAGTGTGTGTTGGTAGAATCACCAGGCCTGGGATGAAACCAGGATAATTACCTCTGCTGTCTGCTGATTTTCTCCTGCACGCAGCGGAAACTCTCAGAGACACCGAGAAGTGTCTGTGTCGTACAAGATGATTGGAATCTGTGACTCATTTGATGCTTCTCACCAGCTTTGCTACAATGCAGCCCACACACACACACTCACTCGCTCTCACACGCGGGCCCGGGTTCCCACAGAAGGGCTGCATTTGATGTGCTAATGCTGCAAAGCCCCGCCAGGCTTCTTCTGTCACACGTCTTTCCTTTCGCTGTGGCACGGCGGAGGCCGGCGCTCTGAAAAAGGCTGAATCACACCCAGAACAGTGACTGGCCCACACCGCACCGCAGCTCACCGACACACACCCACACAGACACACACACACAGGAGACACACCGCATCATAATTTACACCTTCTGAGAGTGGAAGACGGAGCTGGAACCCCTCCATCAAGTTACTCACACTAAGTTCTAATTCCTATCACCACGATGAATTGTCCCAGGAATTAATGCAATAAATAATAATGTTATTGCTTTGAGACCATGCTCAATAATAGTAAATTAATTAATAACTATATTGTTATCATTAACTAAAAAATTGTCTGGGTTTTTTTGACTGTTTTAGGGTCATGTTGATGAGCTGAAACCAAAAATCACATTGGTTTTGCTCAATCAGGTCAACTTTCTGAACTATGAGGCAACATGAGCATCAAAATGCAGGACTTGTTCTCACATCTGGAGAATCTGGGATCAATGATGAGCAGGAGGAGAGATTCTATCAGGACAGAAAAGAGACGGAGATGTAATGTTCAATTTACATGTACTTACCTTTATCAGTGTTTGTTATACAATTTACAGAAATCTAAGTTTGCAACATTTAATTAATACACTCTGTTAGAAAACATTTTTTTTTCTCCTAAAACCTTTTTTGGATGAGAAATATTAACAGAAATGAATTGATGATGTCACAAAAATCTAATCCAGTCAGATTTCTCCAAGTCAAATTAGAATAAAAACCTGATTGAGAAAACGGATCATTTTTTGATTCAGTGGTGCAAAATAATCCTAATTCAGTTGAAAAAACAAAGACAGCTTCAAAAAAATATATTTTTGTAGCCCAGTGTTATTGGTCTTTGTTCTCTTAAAGACCAATACATTTTTGTAGAGAGCAGTTAATCAGAAGAGATTTTAAATATCGAAAATAAAACATAACCAAAAATAAAATATAAAATGAAAAAAATAAATAAAAATCCCTACTTACAACCAAAATCATAAATGAAATGGATGATAATTTCTGTTTTGCATTAATAAATTATTCTTACTTTTTAGGATATGGCACTAGAACTGGCAACAGCCCAGAGACCCACCACCTTCTAGATCCGGCCCTGTTCAGACCTGATGTTTACGGAGCAGAGCAGAGTCAGGATTACATTCTGGTGTTCTACGTTGTGATTAGTATAGGTGGGAGTTATCATACTGTTTAGAAATTTCTTGAGAATTTTGATGCATCATTGTTAATAAGGTTTAAAACCTTCCGAAACTTTCTGTACTGTTAGTTTCACTACTTTCTCCATCTTTTGTTAAATGGGAGTAGCAATGAATATCTATATGTCTGAAGATATGATTAAATGGAGTTATTGTGTGCAGCTTAGTGATACAAATCATACTTTATGTGACTAGTGTCCTAAAGAAAAGGAATGGAGTGGTGTTCAGGAGCAGTATTTGTGTGGCTATGATTGCTGCTATGCAGTCACAGTCACACAGGAAGAAAGATAGTTCTTATAACTTTTATTGTCAGCACAACAGTACCATAAAATACTGTGACAAAGCTTTAAGTCCATGTCGCCCACCCCTGGTTATCAGTGTAGAATTACAGTAGCTCAATAGAATTCAAATAATGTCCAGATCAGAGGGAGCTTGTAATGTCCACACAGATTTCCAATAATTAAAGTCTGCACTTCGTGTTCCAAGGGAGCATTAACCACAATCACAGAGCATTCGCTCTGAGAACACACTACCCTGTTCCCTCAAAGAGATTTGGTTCATTTTCCTCTCTGCCTCCATTTATTCCTCAGACTGGTTTTTATCTGGTGAGGAAGTCAGACTGGATGGGAGCTAAGGATGAGATCTAGACAACCTGTGGCAGAGGAGGGATGGAGCGCGCTGCTCTCTGCTGACCTCACATCAGGTCTCCGGGCAGCGGGACAGGTTGACCTTTACGAAAGGCAGCAGGAAAACATGGAGCTCCAGGTCACAAAGTAATACAGCCTGAGCTTTTAGCTGCTTGCATCTGCTGACCTATGAGTGGAACCCCGTGAAAGCCACTTCAGTAAGAGGAACGAACCTTTTGTGAAGCACAGCCTCCTCAAATACACTAATGTCCATCAAGTATGGAGGAAGCAGAAGGCCAACAATCTCTGACCTACATCCCTTTAAAAAAAATAACACAGACTCTCTCCAGAAGGAGCGGCATGACCGTCTGCTGCTGCTCGCCATATCAGTCACACTTCCACACAGACATGGCAACAAACATGTCTGGCTCTCTGGATGGTGTGTCTATATGTGTGTGTGTTACGAGTCATACCTCTGGTTTATGCGCCGTATCAGGATCTTTATTTCCTCCACATTGCTTTGTGCACCACCAAAAAAAAAACACACACAGGCCCTGTGGAGCACAGAGGAGATCAATTATTCATCACTGCATTCAATGAAATATGAAAAATCATCCTGCTTGTGCCAGTGGCAGTCACTTGTCGCTTCTTTGTGAAAACAGAACTAATTTCTTTGTGCCCCAGAATGCTTTGGGAAGGCCGGGGCCTGTCGGAGCCGCTGCTCCAGCCTTGTATCAGTGGATTACAGAGTTTCCAGGTTACACAGGAGAAGACAGACATGGAAGCTCAGTGAAGGCAGATTAGAGCAGCTGGGATGAATAATCCCATCCACAGGGGAGAATAAAAAAAAATCCCACCAACATGGAAACATGTCAGCACCAATGAGGCTGCCGGATTTCATCTGGTAAACAACAGGTAGCAGCAGAGCATGCACCGGTTGCCAGCATGTTCAAACCTCGTCCAATATACGAAAAGATCAGTGCAACATGGTGAGCACTACGACAGCAGATTATTTATCACTGAAGAGGAGACAGAGAAGAGAGCATTTTGAAAAACAATACTAAAATTTATGCTTCTTTTCACAAACGTCCTACCTGGAGGTAGTGCCTGTTTCCCTGTCTGAGCCTAATGATGAATGTATTTTGAAGGACATGTTTTTTACAGACTTCATAATCTGTTTTATTTGTTTTTGGCTTCTTCATTTATTTTGGATATTTAAAATCTTTATCTTTTATCTTTTCACTTGAAGTAAAAGAAACTTACAAGAAACGTTTCAGCAAAATAAAACCTTGTTTTAAGCCAATAATCATGTAATATAAAAAGTAGTTCCACTGGCAGATCATTTCACTTATATCATCAGAAAAATGTTTTGATCAATATTGAAGAATTATGGACTTAAAACAACCTCCAATATGTTTTTGCAGTGTGGTTGGTTTGGCTGGCTCCTCTATCCTGGCCTCATCCGTAAAAAAAGACATCGTGTCAAAAGTCTCGTGGTTCATTCAGGTACAACGTTGCAACCTTCTGTCGTGCTGCTACGTAGTTCTACATGGTCAGAGGAGTTTTAATTTTTCTGACATTAGTTTGATCTGACCCATGACCATCAGGGAAATTTACTGGGACGCACTTCTGGGAGGAAGTTCAGTGTTTTGCACAATTCTTTGAGTGATAAAGAAACTGAAACTGCACTTAGTGATGCAGTTCTGACGCATTTTGAGCTTCAAATGAGCTTCAAATGAGCTATTCCGGTCCAGCAGGATCTCTGACTGCTTTCACAAACTCCCTGGAACAAAACGGCAGAAAAAAAAGAAGGACATTTATGATGTGCACACATTGGCAACTTTTGTTAAGAAGATAAATAAAGTTTTCAGTTGCTGCCAGCTGACGGAGTGGGCACAGTGAAGACATTGTATGGCAGGAGGGCCAGGGTCAACTGCACAGCCTGCCACCCAACTGACCTTTATTTACAAAAGATGCGCTGTCACTGCTGCCAAATATGCTCAAAGTCATTAGCCACTGATTTGACTTTAAAGCTCAGCGTCGCTAATCTAATTTAATCTGCCTCTGTAGATTCACCGTTAGCCGGAGCAGAGCATTAAATGGAGGCGAGATTACGAGCAGGCTTTGCTGTAAAGCAGCAGCAGACACCTGCACAGAGAGCTGCTGCTGCTGCTGCTGCTGGTTTGTGTTTGTAAGGGTCTTTCACATGAGCTCTTCCTGTTTCTGGCTGAATGATGCAGAAGCATACAAGAAAGGCCAGAGGAACTCTCTCACATGAGCAAGAGAGAAAACACAGAAATAATGAGGACAACAGGATGAGGTGGTGTGAATTTGGTTTTACAAGTTTCCTCTCCAGACTGTGGTGAAGCGTTCTCACATATAGGAACGGCATCAGACATGTGGACTGCAGAGTGACAAAGTGCCACAGCAGAGCCATCTGAAAGCTTTCCAGACTTTACAAAATAAAATATGAAAGGTGTGGCGTACATCAACCTGATAATTACCTTCCTACGCAATTCCACTCGAATCTCACCTCCCTTCAGTTTACCATCTGGGCTTTCTTCCATTGACATGGATTTCTACTATAGATTTACTTTTTTACAAGGCTAATCAGCGAACAGAAGGAGAAGTTGTGATCGATGATGCTGATTTTTAGAATTGTAGCCTGCCTGTAGTTTTAGCAACAGCAGCAGTGGAAGTGACCAAAGCCGTTAAGTCCATGTTGGTCAAGCTTATAGATATTGAATTAACAGTAACAACTGCTTCGTTCAGCTCTGCACTTTTCACAGTGGAGACTGATTGTTGACATCTCAGGCCATTTTTCGCCACAATGAGCTGTTTTTTTTTAACCAGGCTATGCATATATTTGTAGTCAGTCTAAGGCAGGGGTGGGCAACTCCAGGCCTCCAGGGCCGGTCTCCTGCAACTTTTAGATGTGTCTCAACTTCAACACACCTGAGTCAAATAACGAGGTTGTTAGCAGGACTCTGGAGAACTTGACTGCACTTAGGAGGTGATTCAGCTGTTGGATTAATGTGTGTTGGACCATGGAGACATGTAAGAGTTGCAGGACACCGGCCCTTGAGGACCAGGGTTGCCCACCCCTGATTTAAGGGCTCAAAAGATGAAAGGCAACAGTTAGTGAACACTTCACCCCCCTGACAAAGCATGGTAGGGGCAGCTTCAGGCTGTGGGGTGGCTTTTCTTTAGCAGGGATACTGGTCTGAGCTAGAAACAGGTGAGTCCTGGAAGAAAATCTGTGAGAGGCAGGAAAATATTTGAGATTGCAGTGGAGGTTCACATTCCAGTGGGGAGCATTTTAAAATGGCCTAGTTAAAGTCCACACCCAAATTAAATTAGAGGGCCTGAATAAAAATATAATAGCCTCATAAAAATAACAATAAAAAAGATAATCATCATCCATTTCCTCTCACTTCACAATCATGCACTGAAGTTGAACATTTGGATACTGTTCTTATTCAGAGGCTTTTAGCTTCAGTGATTGAAGTCTTCATTAGCATTAGAAAAGCTTCGCTGTTATTTGTCTGCTTCAGGCCTGTGTTCTCACTGTGTCGGTCCGGACAGACATGGTGAGGGGCCACTGCGCCGACTCCTTTCAGAAGCAGACTCCTCTGGTCAAACATAAAGGCAGAGCAGCTGCGGGGGTAAGAGGAGGGGGCTGAGGTTTATAGTTCTTCAGCCTCAGAGCCGTCACAAGGCAGCCACACCACAACAAGCCGTCTCATTCTGCCCTGCTGCAGATCCAGTCAGATGTGTGGGCTGCTCAAGTGGCTGAACACAGCAGGACTAAGAGAAAAGAGCCCAGAATCTAGATGTTGAGGGGCCAACAGATTCCAACCATTTTCATTTTATAAAGACACCATGTAGTAAAAGAATGTTAATGACGGTTAGATACATTTGATGGATGAAAGATGGAGTACCTGGTCATTTCTGTGTTAAAAAATTACATTTATCAAAAACATTTTTTTTTTCCTGGCAAAACATCGAGTCAGCAAGCCAAACTTTATTGGATTGGGGGTTTCTAACAAACAGAAAGATTAAAATGACTTAGTCACTGTTTTTTTTTTTATCCAGATTGGACATCTGGCGTTCTGAACTGTGTGGTAGATGGCTGTTTGCTACTACCTCGGTTTGTTTAACCATTCCAAAACCAGCGTTTGAGAAGTAGTCCAAAGCTTTTCAGATGGAGCCAATGTTCCAGAGAAACGAAACAGTCATCTGAATTCCTGGAGGCAGAATTAACAGGGAAACATTTCAGTCACAAGATGAGCTGGAACTTCTGCATTTCTGTAATCTGACGGAAAAGTGAGTCACTAATAACTGAATAAGCTCTTGGTAAAACACATGCTTATCAAGCACTGGTGCAACATTTCTTTATAATATGTGAGCAACACTGAATCTTTTTATGTGGAAACAATAACCTAAAACTTTAATATGACAGTTCAGCATTCAACCAACTCTGTAGCCAGTCTGTCAGACAACAGCAGCATAGAAACCCATATGAAAATTTGAGATCGCCATCTGATATTAATAGTGCTGCTCTGGCTGATAAAATGTATTTACCAATATTACATATTTATTTCAGTTCCTCCAGGATGTTACAATGTTTTTTAGGACTTCTGTGGCCTAAAATGACTGATTCTGTGGCACCTTTTCATAAAGTTGTTGTCAAAGTTGTGAATGTTTTAAGCTTTATTTGTCACAACATGGTCCAACAAAAAATATTAAAGTGTTGCACATGCTCTTCCCAGAAAGACACAATTTCAATAATTGTTAATATTTAAAATGTAAATGACATTTTCTAGCATCTTTCATAGCAGCTTTAATAAAAGGAAGAATTCCATATTCCATATTAAGGTTAATATGAACTGTATGCGCAGTGTAAGCAAATCCTACGGAACAGTTTTATTTATTGGATAATTACAAACATGTAAAAAAAATAGCTAATATCTGCAGATATTAGCTTTTTTTGTGCTGATTTGCATCCCTTTTTTAAGAGCTCTAATCCTCCGTCCCACTGGACATCCTGTGGGTCCAGACTCCAGGTTTATATTGAGCATGTAATGCAGAAAAACAGTTGACGAATTAGCCAAACAACAGAAAATCACACTAGGAAAGTAGATTCTGAGATGGTTTGACGACTGAAAAAACTATGTGTTCAGGCACAGCTGCCTCCCGTCTCTTTTCACTTTCTGTGTTTCCCCGTCTCATTTCCTCTCAGGTCCTTCAGTGAACCAATGCAGGAAACGATGAAACGCGCAGGAAATCTAGAAGTCACCATCACTTTTTCGACCTACAAAAATTAAACACTAGCTGTTCTCTTGTGAGGGTTCTGGCTGATTTTGAGGTTTCCCTGCTGGGAAATAAACCCCAGTCTGCAGGATGATCAGTTAAACATCCAGGTTAGTCTCTGAAGAACAAGTCGGGCCACTTCAACACCAGCTAGATGTGAAAGACATCCAGGCTGCAGCACTCCCATGGATTTCCAGTAACCCTGCAGACTGTGTGCTAGAAGAGGCGTGTTCGAATAATC